TTTGGTGGTAATATTTACATTCAAGCTGGTATATGGGCTACGTCTGATCGTCGATTGATAGAGGATATTAAGGAAATTGATTTACTGTTTGAGCGATACAAGGAGCTTAAACCGATTAGTTATAGCTATAAAAATGAAGCTCAAGATGTTTTGCGTGTTTGTTTAGAAGCAATTACGATGATGAAGGTGAAAACTCACCGGGAGGAGCATTTGAATAGACAAAAGGACTACAATATTCTAAACATGGAACGCCTTAGATTGGCGGGACACATTTTGGGTAGCAGTCTCAAACAAACGTAAGACTCTCTTTGATCCCCTCGACTTGCCAAGACCACGTGTGATACCAAAAGATTATTCCTTTCGCAAAGTTGATAGTCAGGACCCTCGATTTAGACAGTGTGGGCAGTATTGCGTCCTGTGGCTTTACTATCTACAACGCAATAAAGTAAATGGATTCATAAGCTCTTCACAGACCAGTAATAATTTTTGCTGGAGTTATATAAAGAACGATCTTACAAACTTGGATTACAAGATCATCGACGGATAGGAGAATTATGACAAGTTCGAGAAGAAGTTTTCTGGTGTTATTTTATTTGCTATGATTTAGACGAGGATGCGTTTGTGTTACAGTTCTATCAATTGCTTTGTCGTGAGCATCCATTCAAATGTGAAGAACGCATTATGATAAGTGCCGAATGTTGCAAGTTCGAGATGTAATACAAAGTCCTGTGTTCTAATATACACAAGCAATGAATGTTGAATATATTGGAACGCACGAGTCAGAGCCAATTTGCTTTGATGAGAACTGCTACGCATGACTAACTCCTAAATCAAAGCCAGAAGTCATTGTTGAGTCAAAACTTACTCTGAATGACCCAAATCGTATTACCAAGAATACTTCTCTAGCCAAGGAGTTTGTGGAAATACCAAGTCTAGAACAGTTGCTGGCTAAGTATCAGTAAGATCATATTTTCATGATGTCATACTCTGGAGCACTCCAGTGGCAGTCACATTAGCGGATTATCGTTCGAGTGTATCTGTCGATGTCGATTTCGAGTGAGGCATCACTGAGAAGGGTATCAAATTTGTTGAAGAAGATTAGAAAGCGGTAAGTGGGACATATGTACTTCCTGGTGTTAATAAAATTTAGCTTAATAAACGGTTAAGGATGGAATTTCATCCAGCTAGTTCCAGATTGTATCCACGAGTGTGAAAATGGACCAAAGGTCAAGGAAAATCTCTGGAAAGCCTCCTCGTCGTGCAACAACAGGCCGATTGGTTCTGGGCGTTAGCGCAGCATCAAACACATCAGCTGC